CCCTTGCAATGCCTAGATTTGTATGTCGACTTGCACTTGCTGACCCCATGATCAGGTCGCAAGCAGTTGTAGCACAGTGACTTCTCCTTCACGAAGGATCGCCTCTGCATCCCGGACATATCCAAGAACTGCTGACAGCTGTACAGAGTGTGTTCTGTAGAATTACAATTGGTGCAGCCACTGCCTTCGACCGCAACCATCGATTGTGTGACCCTTTTTGGTTTTTCCGCATGTGTTGTTGTTCTGCCACCAGTAGCAAGCTCCCTTTTACTCAGCTCCAGTTCCTCGCAACGAGAATCGAGAAACTTGAAGAATTCCTCGAGAGTTGGTGAATCCGTGTCCATGCTGCGCTCAATCCACCTGCGCCGCGTGTCAGCGTCTAGTTTCTCCAGCGCCAGATAGATGATCCAGCAATCGCAGCCCATCTGGTTGGCCGCATGCAATCCGCGAACAATTTCGTTTGCTCCGTCTGACACCTTCCGTAGAATTGATGCATCTACCTTTGTAGTTGTTGGTAGGCTCATAAACTGCTCCAAAAATGAGTTTACAATGTGCCGTGGACGATTGTACCTCTCCTTAAGACGTTCCCAAGCTGTGTTGTAAGCAGTCTCCGTAATGGCCAAGTGCCGTACCAAGTTGGCAGCCTCATCAACAAGAAGCGTTTTCAAGTGATGGAACTTCTGTGTGTTGGACAAATGCTGCTTGTTATGAATTGTGTTCGTTCTATGAAGTCTTGAAAGGAGGGCCACTCTGTGTAGTTGCCAGAGAACCGCTTGATTTGAATTTTTGGCAATTCGCTCTGATTAGAATTCGCCGCGAATACCGAACTTAAATTCGCCAAAGTGACGTCACCACCAACTTGAACCGGCTCGAGCTAGCCTGATTTGCAGCCAGTCGCTCAAATAGTTGTTGGTTTTGTTGCAGCAAATTGACAATTGCGTCGTTGTTGGAATGCAGACCGTTGCTGCCATTCGTAATGCCTGTAGATGTACTCGGTTGTAGAGCATCACATCTGTCCTTGAGAATTGCGATCTCCGGATCGACGTAACCTTCCACTTCCTCGTGGACAGCAATGGCATCGCCGAACACGTTGAACTCCTTCCAAACATCGTGGAGAAGTTGTATGCGCGTGGTTATCTCTGTCTGTGTTGCAGATTCCGCTTGCTCTGCCCATGAGAGACAACGTGTGCTGTTAGCCTTGAGCCTGGAACGGCTCTTCATAAATGCTTTTAATTGTTCCATAGCAAACAATTATCCTGAGAATCAAAGCACTCCGCTAACTGTTCCAGAATCCGTCAACGAAGGACCAACAATATGGTCAGAAATAAGACGAGTTAAGTTGCGTGTGTGTGTACTGTAATAAATTTTATTCTTGCCAGTTGCGAAGCCTATTCGATACTGAATTGAATTTCGCAATACGACGCCGTATTAGCGGCGTTGCCAGAAACTCAAAGAGAGATTTTTTTTGTATGTATACATGTTTTCTTGTACATAGATTAAAGTATATAAAGGAATGGAGATGGCATTATGCGCCTATATATTAGAGATGATTAAAGCTGCAAGCGTTCACGAACAAAGTCTCTTTTAAGAACGGCCAAGAAATCTATAGACGCAATTTCCAGCAAAGCAACTTCGCTAAAGGTTTTAGTGCAAAACTAGCTCCAGCTTTCATTAAAGCGCGAATACGCAGTAAGCTAGGCAACAGCTATTACAATATAGAGGACTTACAAGGTAGATTTGTTGGAATGTTCCACGCGAAGGACTTAAAACAGTAAACATGTTGCTACTTCTTCTTCAAGCGCGGATCTCCCTTTGTTGATTTCATCCCCAAAGTGTGATTTTGGTGGGAGGGTATTTGTAGGGCGCTTGTCGTGAATATTTTCAATTTTTAAATTTCCCACTTCAATTTAAAATTCCCGCCAGTTTTTGAAGTTGCCGCCAGGAATTAAAATGGCAGAGCTAAATTCAAATAATTTCAGTTTTTACAACACTGAAAAAGACGTTTTCGATAAAGACTTTTTGAGCAACTCTGGTCCCACACTTTTTCGATAAACAGGCCTGGCTGCCTGATGCATTTCTATTATTCGGTCTTTCCGTTTTGGACCTTGGCCGTGTGAAGATCGTTCTCTCCTGAGCATATTTTGTTTAAACCCAGAGATCTACCCAAACCAAATCGTGGAATATATCAGACATCCTCAGCCTTTTATAAGGTTTTCTTTTACCAGTGGGTTCCTGTTGATTAAAGAAAGTAAGTTTTACTATTATTTCGTGGAAAAACCCCACTTATAAAGTAATGCGTTTTATAGGAAAATTCTTGGAAGTCGAGTTTACTCCTTCACGTGGCTGACGGCCTGGGGAAATTTTCCTCCCAGATTTTCGTCTGCATCGTGGAAAATTGAAGTCGAGTTTACTCCTTCACGTGGCTTACGGCCTGCCCAGATTTTCGTCTGCATCGGGGATAATTGAAGTCGAGTTTACTCCTTCTATTGGCTCCCGTTTTTCTGGGAAAACTGTATACCACTAACGCCACCAACGTGATCGTCAGGATTTTCATCAGTTTTCCACATTCATCATAAAACATAAAAAAAAAATCTAATCAAGAAAGTGAACATAAAACTGTGAAAATTTCAACCAGCGTTGCCACATAGCGTCCACGCTGAAAATTCTTGTGAATTCTGGTCCAAACAATTCCGTACAAATTCATGCACGTCAGTGCCAACAGCATAGTGCACCCTGTGTCTCACATACATACATAGTGCAGCCCTCTGCTGAAAGTGCGCAAGTGGGAAAGCCAAAGCCTGCAACTCCCACTTTGTGATCCAGTCCAGTTTTACCAACACAATTTAAATTTAAATCAGTTAAATTCTTATCAACTAAATTCCTATTCGTCAAATAAGCCGTTGACGTAAATTACCTTAAATCCTAGTGTAATCAAAGAATTCGTTATGCAGTAAGCAAATCTCATCATGAGAGCAAGTGCTTAAGCCCCTGGAAGTGTTTTCCCTAATTTATCTTTGCATACAGTCAATTGAAATGCAGTTTTCAAATTTATAAACAAAATTACAGCCAATAATACAACATATTGAAAGCGCTTTCAACGTTGGACAGTTTGGGTAAGTGATCGGCTCCGGTCGTAATGCTACACATTTTGATTGACTGTCTTGTAACGAACTGTTTTGACTGTTTGATCGCTACGTAAACGCCGCGACTAGCTCAGAGATACTGTGTGTTTGTCCCACCAAATTTGTATTGCGTGACTGCCCGTGACCCAAGAAAATGCAGAGATATCCGATTGGGACAAATCGGAAAACTTTATTAGTTTTACTTTTCGCTGGAATTGGGTTCTGCGTCAGCTGGCTGTTGCGGCTTGCCTGGTCGACGACGTGCCTTCCTCGGCTCAAGATTCTCTTCGTGCGTTTCCCGGCGGCGCTCCTCGACGGCGTCGCTGTTCTCGTGTCTCTTCGTGCTACTTGTGGACTCCTGCGACGTCGTTCTCCAACGGCAGCTCTCCAGTTCCACCCGGCTTGTAGGACTCAAAAGTCTGCACAACCTTCCTTTCGGGTCCGACCAGAATGATCCTGGGATCACCCGTTTCGTCGTGTTCCCTGAGGTCGGTCTGGCTCTAGCCTGAGAAACAAATGTCCCGACAGGTCAAATCCTAGGATTCAGCCTTATCGTCAATCCACCGTAACCCCGACGCCTGGCACAAACTCTTGATCCACGCTTACCCTGCCGGTAGCTCGTCCTTCTCTAGCTCGTCCTTCTCTCGACCCTGCTCCTGTCCAGCACTCGTCTCCACTCCAATCTCTGTATCCTGCAGATCTCACCGTTGCAGTCTCAGCCTTGGCCTAGCGTCTTGACTCTGGTATCTTGATCTGGGCGTTGAGCACTCGGTTACTCGGTACTCTTACGGTCACGCACTCGATTGAATCCTCGCACTTGAATCTTAATATTTAGTTGTCTCACTTGTACTTTCGTATCTTGGTTGTCTGTCCTGAGCTGCGCCTGCGCCGTCCTTTATATAGGCTACGGCGCGGTCCCGTTATTTCCCTTTTTGCACACGGCTCGCTAGGGTCCAATGTCCAAGGGTGTCCCTTTAGTTCCCTTTGCACAGGGCACGCATCGGGTCCAAGGTCCAAGATGTCCCGTTAATTCACGGTGCATCCGCTTTGTGCCGGTCCGAAGTCCACGGATTCACCGTTCGACCTCATTGCCCCTTTGGCGGCGTGGGTCCAAGGTCCAGCGCGGTACCGTTACTTCACGGTCTCTCCGCTTTAGCCGGGTCCAATGTCCAGTATTTACCGGTGGACCTGGATTCTGCCGCATTCTCGCTGCCTTCGCTGTTGCTAGGGGCTCTCCTGCCTCGAGATTTGTGGGGAGTTTTACGACTCCTCACATCACAGCGCTGATCCTCGCCTCCGGACGGAGTTTTGAATTTCCGCGCCACTCCCACGTCGAAATTCACCACTTCTCTCTCCGCAGTCTGGCAACTCTGCTCCAACTCACGATTGCGTTTATCGATCGTGGCGAGCGGCGTTGCCACGTCCAGGTCTCCAATTCCAGTTTTCGATATTTTAGCGTTGCCATTTTTCCATTCCAGTCGCAGTGTGACCCATAGTATTATATATCGTGTTCCATATCGTGTTCCCTATCGATCGCACTATCGATCGACCGCCGCTATCGCAGCGCCCCCATCCCGATTTTTCATTACCGCGTGGCTGCTTTGAAAAGGTAAGTGTTTGTCCCGCGCCTGCGGCAGCCTCGCGACATATTTGCCGGCCCGCGCGCCTGGCTTTCGCGCCCCTCGGTCCGCTCCTGGCATGGCTGCCGTAGAGGTCGTTAACCCCTTTTTGTTGTTGTGCTGCAGTCGGCGTTACTGCTTGTGTTGTTGTGGTTGTTGTTGGCGCTGGCTGCGCCTGCGCATATATTGCCGCGCGTACCCTCCCCTGTCCCAGAACATACTCGTCTCTTCTGTTCTAGCCCTCACTCTGGGGCTCCTTTTATTCCGCGCGGAAAACGCTGACGTCGCCGGTTGCGGATACCTTGATGCGGTACCGGGCCCCGTTAGCGACGACCAGCTTGGCCCACCGCTTCTGCCGCGCTCTCCCTCGCTGCCGTCGTGCCTCCGTTGCCACACTCGGTGGCCACTCCTCCTCCGCGATCGGCGTCCACGGCTCGCCTCTCGCGGAATGCTGCCGCTGCATCTCCGGCCTCTCCGGCGGGGCACGTGCCTCGGGGCACGAGGCCTGCCGCGCGATTTTCGGCGTCGCTGCCAGTTCCTCGTCCTCTGCTCGCGTCCTCTTCCCGCACTCCTGTGCCGGCCATCTCCATGTGACGACCGCCTCATGCCACGTCCCGCCGTCAGCCTCGACCACCCGTCGCTCCTCTGCGATCCGCCATGCCTCCTGCTGCTCCCGCAGCGGTGGTGGGGGCGGTGTCGCTGGTGGTGGTGGCGGTGGTGTCGCCGGTGTTGGTGGCGGTGGTGTCGCCGGTGGTGGTGTCGCCGGTGGTGGTGGCGGTGGTGTTGGCGGTGTCGCCGGTGGTGGTGGTGGCGGGGTTACTGCCGGTGGTGGCGGCGGTGGTGAGGGCTCCCACAGGCGAGCCTCCTCCTCCTCGGCCCTCTCGAGCAGCCTCTGGACCGCGATCTCGGCGGCCGCCTGGCGCCTCATTTGGCCCTTTATCCGGGCGTGCGTGATCCGGCGCGCCAGGAACATCTGTCGCCAGTCCCTTGGGCGATTCGTCGGTGGCGCCATCCCGAGCGGGATGTAGCTCTTCCCCTGCCTTGCCATCTGGAGGCGGTGGAATTTGATCCTCCTCGTCCGAGGACACCTCCGGGGTGACCGAGTCCAAGCCTCCCCAGGTCTCGTCGTCGTCATCCGACGAGAGCGACACCACATCTCCGGCGTCGTCCGGCCTCCTCTTCCGCGTCGTCCTCCAACTCGATGTCCGGGATCTCGCCGCGGTCCTCCTCCTCCGACGGCGACGGAGAGCGCGACGCCAGGGGTGACGCGCACAGCTGGAGGTAGGATTCGGGATCCTGCCTCCATATCGCTGCGGGCTGTTCCCCGACGCCGGCCTCACGTGCCTCGGTTCTGCTGCGCTTCGTCTTGGTGGACATGTTGCTGCTGCTGCTTGGAATTTTCGAATAGGCAGATCCACTCTGCTCTACCCTCCGCGTAACCTCTGTTCTTTTGCCGCGCTCCTGTTCCGTTATTCCGCAGGGCCCTCCGTGTATGCCTCCTACGAAATTTTGCATCGGTGTGCGTCAGCCGGTAACGGTAGTCGCGGTTTTGACCCTCCTCTGACCCGCTCTCGCGCTCCTGTTTGTGTGTGTGATCGTGTATCCGTGTGTCTTCCATGCGTTGTGCCCGTTTCGATACACCGTATCGTCCTCTCTCTTTTCCCGCTAACGGAAAGCACAGTGTTCATTCGATGTCGTGGTCGTTCCACTTTGTACACTCCCGGGCTTTAGGTCGCTTATGTGTGCTGTTTTTTCCTTGCCGCTTTCCTCGTGCCGTAGCTTGCAGATCACCGGCGAGGTGAACTTTGTGATTTTAAACGGCCCATCGAATTTTGGGGCCAGTTTCGCCGCGAAGCCCTCTACTGCCTTGGACAGGTGGTGCTCCTTGACCCAGACCTTGTCCCCAACCTTCGGCTTCCATGGTCGCCTTCGGAGATTGTAGTGACGTGCCTGATCCTGCGCCGCCCTTTCCATGTTTCTCCTGACCAACTCGAAGATCTCCTTTAATTTTTGTGCGTTTTCCGTGGGTGTTTGTGTTTCCTTTCCTGTTCCGGTTGTCTGCTCGTCATACAGCGCGTTTGGGAGTCTCGGCTCTCTACCCTGCGTGATAAACGCTGGCGAATAGCCCGTTGTTTCCGCCACACTTGTATTCACGGCCAACTGCAATTCTGGCCATTTTTCATCCCACGTCCTCTGATCGGCTCCGGTGAATTGCTCGATCATTGTTTTCACGGTCCTGTTGGTTTTCTCCGTCGGGTTTTCTTGTGGCGTGTACGGTGCTGTAAACTGGTGTCGGACACCCAGTTCCTCCATGAACTTTTTGAACGCTCTGCTTGTGAACTGCACGCCGTTGTCGGTTATCATCATTTTAGGCACTCCGTATCGTGAAATTATCCGTTCTCTGATGGCCTTTTGAAGGGTTTCCGTGGTTGCCCTTCGCATGGGCACGATTTAGGTCCATTTTGAGAATCGATCCACCAAGACTAGTAGCATCGAATTCCCGTGTTTTGACCGTGGCAGGGGGCCGACGAAATCGGCGCATACCGTCGCCCATGGCTCCTCCGGAATTTGTGTTAGCATTTTTCCGGCTGCCTGGAGTTGGTTAGGTTTGTATTTCATGCAGCTTTCGCAGTTCCGCACATATTTCCGTACGTCTCGATGCATGCCCGGCCAGTGGTATCTTGCTGCCACTCTTGCAATCGTTTTCCGACTGCCCAGGTGTCCGGCCGTTGGCATGTCGTGATTTTCAGATATTACCCTTTTTCTCGACTCGGTGGGTACGCACAGCTTCCAGGCGACTACGTCCTCGTTGCCAGCCCTGTGTGGAATATGTCTGTACAGCCGGTCGGCTTCCATCAGATAATCGGGGTATTTTTGTGGATTCTGCGTAACCTTTCCTTGCATTTCCTTTATCCAGGGGCATTGTGCTCGTTCTTGCAGATCGGTTTCCTTATTTTCCAGTCTTCGGCACGTTTCTGGTAGCGGCTGCCGTGACAGGGCGTCCGCTACTATGTTAAGCTGGCCCTTCCTGTATGCGATTTCAAAATCGTACTGTTGTAGCTCCAGCGCCCATCTCGCGATTCTGCCGGACGGACTCTCGATGCTATTCAACCACTTCAGGGCCATGTGATCGGTTATCACTTTGAAGTGGTAGCCCTCCAGGTAAGGTTTTAATTTCCTGATGGCCCACACGATCGCTAAACATTCTTTTTCTGTTGCAGAGTAATTCCTTTCCGCCCCGTTCAAGGATCGGCTGGAGTAGGAAATCACCCGCTCACCCTGGTCTGAATGTTGTGTGAGAATAGCACCGAGGCCGTAATCGCTGGCGTCTGTTTGGAGTACAAACGTTTTGCTGAAATCGGGGCATGCCAGGATTGGATCAGCAACTAGCCTGGCCTTGACGGCTTCGAACGCTTGCTGGTGATCGTTCGTCCATTCCCATTTTGCTTTCTTCCGGAGGAGTGCGTTCAAGGGCTGTACTATGGTGGCAAAATCTGGTACGAATCGCCTATACCATGATGCCACCCCCAGGTACTGGCGCAGCTCCTTAACATTTGCCGGCGGCTTCAGCTGAGCTATAGCCGAGACCTTCTCCGGGTCCGTCCCAATGCCTTGGTCTGTGATTCGATGCCCTAAGTATTGCAACTCCTTCCTGAAGAATTTACACTTATCCGTATTTACTTTCAGGTTTGCTGCCCGCAGTCTTCTAAACACCTCTTTTAGGTTCTGCATGTGTTCCTTTATGGTCCGTCCGATGACGATAATGTCGTCTTGATACGCAAAAGCGTGCGGCATCATCTCGGGCCCTATGACCTGGTCCAACGCTCTTTGGAATGTCGCCGATGCCGAGTGTAGTCCGAATGGCATGACTCTCCATTGGAATAGACCTTTTCCCGGGACTGTGAAGGCTGTGTACTGCCTGCTGTCCGCCTCCAAGGGTATCTGCCAGTACCCGTCCTTTAGATCCAAGCTGCTGATGTACTTGGCTTCTCTCAGTTGGTCCAGGATGTAGTTTATCATTGGCATCGGATACGCGTCCTTAACGGACTTTGCGTTTATTTGCCGGAAATCTACGCACAACCTCCATTTCCCTGTCTTCTTCCTGACCATGACGATTGGTGAACTATATGGGCTTTTCGATGGTTCTATGCAGCCTTTTTCGAGTAGCTCGTCGACCTTGGAGTTAATTTCCCCTTGCATCTTGGGATTCTTGGGATAATACCTCTGTTTGACCGGCTGATCATCTTTCATGGTGATTTTGTGCACAGCTACGGTCGACGTTCCTGATATATTCTCCAAATCTGTCAATTCTGTTTTTAGGAATTCAGCTACGTCCTCTTCCGTGAATTCTTTTGGCGTTTCCGTGACCGCGACGGACAGTCTTTCCTCTGTGCATTTTTGTTCCCTGTTTCTTGGTGGTATTGCCACCCGAAGTCCAGCGCATTCCATTTTCGCTCCTATTGTAGTGAGGAAATTCCATCCTAGCACCAGGGCGTGTATGATTCCAGGAAGGATCAGCAACTGTATTTTCACAGTTCTCGTGCCGAGTCCTATTCCTATTTCCAGCTGTGAGGTGATGCTCCCGCATCGTCCGTCTGCCATCCGTACTTGCCTCCTCGTGGGCCTGACCTGTCCTGCCGCCTGCAGCCTGTCCGCCAGCTCCTCGCTTATAAAACTAGCCGTGGCGCCGGTGTCCACCGTGGCCTTCAGCCTCTTCCCGGCTATGAGCACTGTGGCGGACAGTTGCATTTCTTCCGCCTTCAGGTCGCCCATTAAATCTGAGGGGCAGTGCCTCGCGAACCCTAGTTGCTCCTCGGCGGCTGGGATCGCTGGGCATTTCCCGATCTCGGGCAGCAATTATTTGTTACTATGCCTATTTTCCCGCAGTTCCAGCAGAACAGCACCGGGCGGTTTCGGCACTCTGTTGCCCAATGCTCTTGGCTTCCGCAACGTCGGCATGCTGTTGCCGGGTTTGTGACGTACCCTCTCCTTCCCTCTGTCCTTTGGTCCTTTGGGCCTCGCCTCCAGGGAGCATCTGTGCCGTCTTGGCACCTTCTGCAGACTGCTCCTTGTTCCCTTCGAGTGGCTGCTGGGTGCGCGAACTCTCTTCGTGCTGTTCCCGGGTGTTCGAATTCCCGTCGTGAAGCTCTTGGAGAAGTCTGCCCAGGTCTCCCAGAATCTGTTGTTGGCGATAAACCATTTGAGGGCTCTTCCCTGCAGGAGTTCCGGCATCGCTCTGGGGATTAGATTGGCGTCGAGTCCGTACGTCACCGCTGACCACTCTACCTGTTCTAGGAACTCCAGGGGTTTATCGTGGCCGTCGTACCTGAAGGTCCACTCTCGAACCTGCTTCGCCACCTTGGCATAGTCCGGCACTTCTGTCTTGGCCTTGTCCTTCCTTTGATTGGAGTCCTCCTGCCTTTCCCGACTGTTCTCCCTTTGAGTGGAGTTTCGTCGGTCCTGGTTGCCGGCGTCCCTGATGCTTTGGACGTCCAAACTGCTCACCAAGCCCTCTGCGCTTGTGATTTTCATCTCGGGAGTCTTCTTTCCGTAATCCCTTTCCAACGCTTCGAGGATGGCAACTGTCTCCGGTTCTTTGGTTGTGCGGTCTATGAACTCCGACAGTGATTTTCTCATGTCATCCACGAGACCCTCTAGCTTGATTCCAAGGGCGGCTGCGATGGCGGGAAAGTCATCCCTTTTGAGGGCATACAGCCACGACTTGCCCATCTTCTATCTGTTTTCTTGATCGGGACAATCACGCTTGGGCGCCAGATGTAACGAACTGTTTTGACTGTTTGATCGCTACGTAAACGCCGCGACTAGCTCAGAGATACTGTGTGTTTGTCCCACCAAATTTGTATTGCGTGACTGCCCGTGACCCAAGAAAATGCAGAGATATCCGATTGGGACAAATCGGAAAACTTTATTAGTTTTACTTTTCGCTGGAATTGGGTTCTGCGTCAGCTGGCTGTTGCGGCTTGCCTGGTCGGCGACGTTCCTTCCTTGGCTCAAGATTCTCTTCGTGCGTTTCCCGGCGGCGCTCCTCGACGGCGTCGCTGTTCTCGTGTCTCTTCGTGCTACTTGTGGACTCCTGCGGCGTCGTTCTCCAACGGCAGCTCTCCAGTTCCACCCGGCTTGTAGGACTCAAAAGTCTGCACAACCTTCCTTTCGGGTCCGACCAGAATGATCCTGGGATCACCCGTTTCGTCGTGTTCCCTGAGGTCGGTCTGGCTCTAGCCTGAGAAACAAATGTCCCGACAGGTCAAATCCTAGGATTCAGCCTTATCGTCAATCCACCGTAACCCCGACGCCTGGCACAAACTCTTGATCCACGCTTACCCTGCCGGTAGCTCGTCCTTCTCTAGCTCGTCCTTCTCTCGACCCTGCTCCTGTCCAGCACTCGTCTCCACTCCAATCTCTGTATCCTGCAGATCTCACCGTTGCAGTCTCAGCCTTGGCCTAGCGTCTTGACTCTGGTATCTTGATCTGGGCGTTGAGCACTCGGTTACTCGGTACTCTTACGGTCACGCACTCGATTGAATCCTCGCACTTGAATCTTAATATTTAGTTGTCTCACTTGTTCGAGTTCGCGCACCCAGCAGCCACTCGAAGGGAACAAGGAGCAGTCTGCAGAAGGTGCCAAGACGGCACAGATGCTCCCTGGAGGCGAGGCCCAAAGGACCAAAGGACAGAGGGAAGGAGAGGGTACGTCACAAACCCGGCAACAGCATGCCGACGTTGCGGAAGCCAAGAGCATTGGGCAACAGAGTGCCGAAACCGCCCGGTGCTGTTCTGCTGGAACTGCGGGAAAATAGGCATAGTAACAAATAATTGCTGCCCGAGATCGGGAAATGCCCAGCGATCCCAGCCGCCGAGGAGCAACTAGGGTTCGCGAGGCACTGCCCCTCAGATTTAATGGGCGACCTGAAGGCGGAAGAAATGCAACTGTCCGCCACAGTGCTCATAGCCGGGAAGAGGCTGAAGGCCACGGTGGACACCGGCGCCACGGCTAGTTTTATAAGCGAGGAGCTGGCGGACAGGCTGCAGGCGGCAGGACAGGTCAGGCCCACGAGGAGGCAAGTACGGATGGCAGACGGACGATGCGGGAGCATCACCTCACAGCTGGAAATAGGAATAGGACTCGGCACGAGAACTGTGAAAATACAGTTGCTGATCCTTCCTGGAATCATACACGCCCTGGTGCTAGAATGGAATTTCCTCACTACAATAGGAGCGAAAATGGAATGCGCTGGACTTCGGGTGGCAATACCACCAAGAAACAGGGAACAAAAATGCACAGAGGAAAGACTGTCCGTCGCGGTCACGGAAACGCCAAAAGAATTCACGGAAGAGGACGTAGCTGAATTCCTAAAAACAGAATTGGCAGATTTGGAGAATATATCAGGAACGTCGACCGTAGCTGTGCACAAAATCACCATGAAAGATGATCAGCCGGTCAAACACAGGTATTATCCCAAGAATCCCAAGATGCAAGGGGAAATTAACTCCAAGGTCGACGAGCTACTCGAAAAAGGCTGCATAGAACCATCGAAAAGCCCCTACAGCTCACCAATCGTCATGGTCAGGAAGAAGACAGGGAAATGGAGGTTGTGCGTAGATTTCCGGCAAATAAACGCAAAGTCCGTTAAGGACGCGTATCCGATGCCAATGATAAACTACATCCTGGACCAACTGAGAGAAGCCAAGTACATCAGCAGCTTGGATCTAAAGGACGGGTACTGGCAGATACCCTTGGAGGCGGACAGCAGGCAGTACACAGCCTTCACAGTCCCGGGAAAAGGTCTATTCCAATGGAGAGTCATGCCATTCGGACTACACTCGGCATCGGCGACATTCCAAAGAGCGTTGGACCAGGTCATAGGGCCCGAGATGATGCCGCACGCTTTTGCGTATCAAGACGACATTATCGTCATCGGACGGACCATAAAGGAACACATGCAGAACCTAAAAGAGGTGTTTAGAAGACTGCGGGCAGCAAACCTGAAAGTAAATACGGATAAGTGTAAATTCTTCAGGAAGGAGTTGCAATACTTAGGGCATCGAATCACAGACCAAGGCATTGGGACGGACCCGGAGAAGGTCTCGGCTATAGCTCAGCTGAAGCCGCCGGCAAATGTTAAGGAGCTGCGCCAGTACCTGGGGGTGGCATCATGGTATAGGCGATTCGTACCAGATTTTTCCACCATAGTACAGCCCTTGAACGCACTCCTCCGGAAGAAAGCAAAATGGGAATGGACGAACGATCACCAGCAAGCGTTCGAAGCCGTCAAGGCCAGGCTAGTTGCTGATCCAATCCTGGCATGCCCCGATTTCAGCAAAACGTTTGTACTCCAAACAGACGCCAGCGATTACGGCCTCGGTGCTATTCTCACACAACATTCAGACCAGGGTGAGCGGGTGATTTCCTACTCCAGCCGATCCTTGAACGATGCGGAAAGGAATTACTCTGCAACAGAAAAAGAATGTTTAGCGATCGTGTGGGCCATCAGGAAATTAAAACCTTACCTGGAGGGCTACCACTTCAAAGTGATAACCGATCACATGGCCCTGAAGTGGTTGAATAGCATCGAGAGTCCGTCCGGCAGAATCGCGAGATGGGCGCTGGAGCTACAACAGTACGATTTTGAAATCGCATACAGGAAGGGCCAGCTTAACATAGTAGCGGACGCCCTGTCACGGCAGCCGCTACCAGAAACGTGCCGAAGACTGGAAAATAAGGAAACCGATCTGCAAGAACGAGCACAATGCCCCTGGATAAAGGAAATGCAAGGAAAGGTTACGCAGAATCCACAAAAATACCCCGATTATCTGATGGAAGCCGACCGGCTGTACAGACATATTCCACACAGGGCTGGCAACGAGGACGTAGTCGCCTGGAAGCTGTGCGTACCCACCGAGTCGAGAAAAAGGGTAATATCTGAAAATCACGACATGCCAACGGCCGGACACCTGGGCAGTCGGAAAACGATTGCAAGAGTGGCAGCAAGATACCACTGGCCGGGCATGCATCGAGACGTACGGAAATATGTGCGGAACTGCGAAAGCTGCATGAAATACAAACCTAACCAACTCCAGGCAGCCGGAAAAATGCTAACACAAATTCCGGAGGAGCCATGGGCGACGGTATGCGCCGATTTCGTCGGCCCCCTGCCACGGTCAAAACACGGGAATTCGATGCTACTAGTCTTGGTGGATCGATTCTCAAAGTGGACCTAAATCGTGCCCATGCGAAGGGCAACCACGGAAACCCTTCAAAAGGCCATCAGAGAACGGATAATTTCACGATACGGAGTGCCTAAAATGATGATAACCGACAACGGCGTGCAGTTCACAAGCAGAGCGTTCAAAAAGTTCATGGAGGAACTGGGTGTCCGACACCAGTTTACAGCACCGTACACGCCACAAGAAAACCCGACGGAGAAAACCAACAGGACCGTGAAAACAATGATCGAGCAATTCACCGGAGCCGATCAGAGGACGTGGGATGAAAAATGGCCAGAATTGCAGTTGGCCGTGAATACAAGTGTGGCGGAAACAACGGGCTATTCGCCAGCGTTTATCACGCAGGGTAGAGAGCCGAGACTCCCAAACGCGCTGTATGACGAGCAGACAACCGGAACAGGAAAGGAAACACAAACACCCACGGAAAACGCACAAAAATTAAAGGAGATCTTCGAGTTGGTCAGGAGAAACATGGAAAGGGCGGCGCAGGATCAGGCACGTCACTACAATCTCCGAAGGCGACCATGGAAGCCGAAGGTTGGGGACAAGGTCTGGGTCAAGGAGCACCACCTGTCCAAGGCAGTAGAGGGCTTCGCGGCGAAACTGGCCCCAAAATTCGATGGGCCGTTTAAAATCACAAAGTTCACCTCGCCGGTGATCTGCAAGCTACGGCACGAGGAAAGCGGCAAGGAAAAAACAGCACACATAAGCGACCTAAAGCCCGGGAGTGTACAAAGTGGAACGACCGCGACATCGAATGAACACTGTGCTTTCCGTTAGCGGGAAAAGAGAGAGGACGATACGGTGTATCGAAACGGGCACAACGCATGGAACACACACGGATACACGATCACACACACAAACAGGAGCGCGAGAGCGGGTCAGAGGAGGGTCAAAACCGCGACTACCGTTACCGGCTGACGCACACCGATGCCAAATTCCGTAGGAGGCGTACACGGAGGGCCCCAAATCTGCGGAATAACGGAACAGGAGCGCGGCGAAAGAACAGAGGTTACGCGGAGGGTAGAGCAGAGTGGATCTGCCTATTCGAAAATTCCAAGCAGCAGCAGCAACATGTCCACCAAGACGAAGCGCAGCAGAACCGAGGCACGTGAGGCCGGCGTCGGGGAACAGCCCGCAGCGATATGGAGGCAGGATCCCGAATCCTACCTCCAGCTGTGCGCGTCACCCCTGGCGTCGCGCTCTCCGTCGCCGTCGGAGGAGGAGGACCGCGGCGAGATCCCGGACATCGAGTTGGAGGACGACGCGGAAGAGGAGGCCCAGATGCCGGACGACGCCGGAGACGTGGTGTCGCTCTCGTCGGATGACGACGACGAGACCTGGGGAGGCCTGGACTCGGTCACCCCGGAGGTGTCCTCGGACGAGGAGGATCACCTGCGACGACGGGAGCGGGTGAAGCTCAAGTCCCACCGCCTCCAGATGGCAAGGCAGGGGAAGAGCTACATCCCGCTCGGGATGGCGCCACCAACGAATCGCCCAAGGGACTGGCGACAGATGTTCCTGGCGCGCCGGATCACGCACGCCCGGATAAAGGGCCAAATGAGGCGCCAGGCGGCCGCCGAGATCGCGGTCCAGAGGCTGCTCGAGAGGGCCGAGGAGGAGGAGGCTCGCCTGTGGGAGCCCTCACCACCGCCGCCACCACCGGCAGTAACCCCGCCACCACCACCACCGGCGACACCGCCAACACCACCGCCAACACCACCGCCACCACCACCGGCGACACCACCACCGGCGACACCACCGCCACCAACACCGGCGACACCACCGCCACCACCACCAGCGACACCGCCCCCACCACCGCTGCGGGAGCAGCAGGAGGCATGGCGGATCGCAGAGGAGCGACGGGTGGTCGAGGCTGACGGCGGGACGTGGCATGAGGCGGTCGTCACATGGAGATGGCCGGCACAGGAGTGCGGGAAGAGGACGCGAGCAGAGGACGAGGAACTGGAGAAGACGGCGTGGGAGTGGCCCAGTCCACTGGCAGCGACGCCTAAAATCGCGCGGCAGGCCTCGTGCCCCGAGGCACGTGCCCCGCCGGAGAGGCCGGAGATGCAGCGGCAGCATTCCGCGAGAGGCGAGCCGTGGACGCCGATCGCGGAGGAGGAGTGGCCACCGAGTGTGGCAACGGAGGCACGACGGCAGCGAGGGAGAGCGCGGCAGAAGCGGTGGGCCAAGCTGGTCGTCGCTAACGGGGCCCGGTACCGCATCAAGGTATCCGCAACCGGCGACGTCAGCGTTTTCCGCGCGGAATAAAAGGAGCCCCAGAGTGAGGGCTAGAACAGAAGAGACGAGTATGTTCTGGGACAGGGGAGGGTACGCGCGGCAATATATGCGCAGGCGCAGCCAGCGCCAACAACAACCACAACAACACAAGCAGTAACGCCGACTGCAGCACAACAACAAAAAGGGGTTAACGACCTCTACGGCAGCCATGCCAGGAGCGGACCGAGGGGCGCGAAAGCCAGGCGCGCGGGCCGGCAAATACGTCGCGAGGCTGCCGCAGGCGCGGGACACCGGGGCACTTGCAGCCGCAAGTCGTCTTCCGGGGGGGGGGGGCGGGGGCCCCCCCCCCGGGGGAGGGGGGGGATTAATTTTTTTCACCCCGGGGGGGGAAGAAGGGAAAAAGTGGGGGGGGGGGGGAAAAAGGAGGAAAACAACACCAAAACACTTACCTTTTCAAAGCAGCCACGCGGTAATGAAAAATCGGGATGGGGGCGCTGCGATAGCGGCGGTCGATCGATAGTGCGATCGATAGGGAACACGATATGGAACACGATATATAATACTATGGGTCACACTGCGACTGGAATGGAAAAATGGCAACGCTAAAATATCGAAAACTGGAATTGGAGACATGGACGTGGCAACGCCGCTCGCCACGATCGATAAACGCAATCGTGAGTTGGAGCAGAGTTGCCAGACTGCGGAGAGAGAAGTGGTGAATTTCGACGTGGGAGTGGCGCGGAAATTCAAAACTCCGTCCGTTCTTCAATAATTTTTCCGAAGAAAGGGGGAGATGTGAGGAGTCGTAAAACTCCCCACAAATCTCGAGGCAGGAGAGCCCCTAGCAACAGCGAAGGCAGCGAGAATGCGGCAGAATCCAGGTCCACCGGTAAATACTGGACATTGGACCCGGCTAAAGCGGAGAGACCGTGAAGTAACGGTACCGCGCTGGACCTTGGACCCACGCCGCCAAAGGGCAATGAGGTCGAACGGTGAATCCGTGGACTTCGGACCGGCACAAAGAGGATGCACCGTGAACTAACGGGACATCTTGGACCTTGGACCCGATGCGTGCCGTGTGCAAAGGGAACTAACGGGACACCCTTGGACATTGGACCCTAGCGAGCCGTGTGCAAAAAGGGAAATAACGGGACCGCGCCGTAGCCTATATAAAGGACGGCGCAGGCGCAGCTCAGGACAGACAACCAAGATACGCGAGCGAAAGTACAAGTGAGACAACCAAATATCAAGATTCAAGTGCGAGGATTCAACCGAGTGCGTGACCGTGAGAGTACCGAGTAACCGAGTGCTCAACGCCCAGATCAAGATACCAGAGTCAAGACGCTAGGCCAAGGCTGAGACTGCAACGGTGAGATCTGCAGGACACCGAGATTGGAGTGGAGACGAGTGCTGGACAGGAGCAGGGTCGAGAGAAGGACGAGCTAGAGAAGGACGAGCTACCGGCAGGGTAAGCGTGGATCAAGAGTTTGTGCCAGGCGTCGGGGTTACGGTGGACTGACGATAAGGCTGAATCCTAGGATTTGACCTGTCGGGACATTTGTTTCTCAGGCTAGAGCCAGACCGACCTCAGGGAACACGACGAAACGGGTGATCCCAGGATCATTCTGGTCGGACCCGAAAGGAAGGTTGTGCAGACTTTTGAGTCCTACAAGCCGGGTGGAACTGGAGAGCTGCCGTTGGAGAACGACGCCGCAGGAGTCCACAAGTAGCACGAAGATACACGAGAACAGCGACGCCGTCGAGGAGCGCCGCCGGGAAACGCACGAAGAGAATCTTGAGCCGAGGAAGGCACGTCGCCGACCAGGCAAGCCGCAACAGACAGCTGACGCAGAACCCAATTCCAGCGAAAGGTAAAACTAATAAAGTTTTCCGATTTGTCCCAATCGGATATCTCTGCATTTTCTTGGGTCACGGGCAGTCACGCAATACAAATTTGGTGGGACGAACACACAGTATCTCTGAGCTAGTCGCGGCGTTTACGTAGCGATCAAACAGTCAAAACAGTTCGTTACAGGTTTTCGGCTATTAATAGCTTTATCCTTTTGGAGATTAAATTATTAGTCCGAGAAGACGTTGCCAATTGCAAGTGCTCCATCAAGTAAGGGGGTTCGTTGGATATAACGACTTTGTGGAGAAGGGTTCTAAGTTTAATCCATGACTCAAAGCATAATTCAAAGATGTTCGTAGCGTGTCTTGTAACGCTTCAGCGCTTCTATTCTGTACCGTTTCCATCGACTATAGGCTCGGTCCCGCTGTTGGATTAGCCGTTTTATTCCCCTGTTGAACCAAGGCTGTTCAGCTGGTTTTCGAGATTTAATTTTGAGGGGGACAAAGTTGTCAAATAGATGTTGTATATTAGAATTTAAAAGTGAGAGTTGGTCTTCTGCGGATGTCAAGTTTTAAATTATGGTCCAGTCAAAGGTGTTAAAAGCTGCCCGTATGTTGTCAGAATTAATGGACTTGTAGTCCCTGTAGCTGAAAGTGGATGTTGGGTTGTCGGAAATAAAATGGTACGTTAAAATTATCAGATCGTGCAAAGTTGGTCGTATAAGAGAACATTAGACAAATCGCTAACAAAGAAAACATCTAACAGAGAGCTGCAGGTACTTGTGAAGTGAGTGGGTTCGTGACGATTTACCAGTTTAAGACCAAGAGACTCAAACTCATTATGTACATGTTGTTCACTGATCATATTACTATTAAGGTCCCCTACCAAAACAAAGTTTTAATATTCAACGGATAAATCTAAGACCGTCTTCAGAAGGTCGTTAATGGGGATTAGGCGATGAGGTCTATAGATACAGCATACGAGAATTTTGGACTTAATTTTTTTGTCTGTGATCCAATTAAAGCCAATATGGTCATTTGACTGGACAATTTACTCTTAAAAACTAAAGGTAAAGAGAGGAGAGGGCTATTGGAAAACTTAGTTCCGAAAGTTCTGATTCTCAATGTGCTTGTCTTTGTCAAGCGAACAGTGAGAGACAGAGAGGTATTCAGCGGGAGAAATGGCAGCAAGCTCTTCGATCTGCTGAATGATGTACACATCGTCTCTCCCAGTGCACTTCACGTGCACGATCCCACGACGCGTAAACACCGCAGAGAGTTTTTATGCTTTTTCATGCGAATGGCATCTTTAAAAATGATAAAGCTCTCTCTCGAAAGCTGCTCATTTACATAGAGAGCTGCCGGTGAGTCAAGCAAGTGAATGCTCAGTTGTTGTTGATTTGATCGCCGGTAGGTGCCCAGTGCGCGTAGAAGGGCTACCTTTTCCCTCGTGGTTTCCAATCTTACAATAATTGGAGGGTCGACCAGCGAACTTTGCATTTTTCGAGCTCTGAAAATATCGCGAACTCTTGGGGTTGGCACAAGGCCCACCGCGAAGCACAGCTTGTTGAAGAGCGATCCAAGCCTTTCCCCTTCATCAAAAGGAACCCCATGCATACGTACTGCACATGCCTCGGTTTCAGCACGTTGCGCCTGGAGTTTTCCTTCCACGGCTCCAACTTGGATTTTCAGTGACCGTAGTTCTGTGACCTCCTGCTCCAGTAGCGAAAGTCGATCGGCCATCTGCTTCATCTCGGTGGTAACATCCAACAGTCTTGCCTGCAGCACCTTGAGCATTCGATCCTCGGCTTCCCGCATGGTGGCCTTGATCAGAGTCGGCTCGAATCGGCTGTTCATCGCCGCGATTAAGATTGGGGAGGTGGTGTCGATGGTGGCATCTGAGGGTCGTCCTCGCTTGTGGATTGCGCCAGAGGTCTCCTTCAGGCGTTTTCCTTCCGGCAGAACCATCTCCCATTTCCAGTGTCGTTTATTTTATTTTGTTTTGTGGTCCGCTTCCTTGTTGTTTGAGTGTTTTGTTTTGCTCTGTTGAGTGGTTTGGAGCAAGCGGACGCTGAATTAAGTTAAGTTGGTGTGTGTGCGGTCGCGTTTAGGCAAAAGTGTTTTTATTATTGACCGGCTAGAATGGTTGGATAAAGATTTGAGAAGGTTTTTGTCCAGTAGAAGTTTATTCAAACGCGAAAAAACTAGACCTTAGACGAGCGCAGAAAAAACACGACCTTTCCTTATAACGCTTTCTTCTATTGTTGAACCTTGTCAAGAGGCTAAGAATAGCCTCTGGCTCAGAGGGCTCAGACCGCAACCACACCCTCGCCCTTGGTCTGGACGAAATATCCGCTGCCTCGCAGACGGCTAGCTTGGCCCCGGGGTAGACCTCGCCAACTTTGGTAAGGGCAGCCTTGTAGAACACTGCCGAACTCTCGTCCTCACAGGCGATCAACTTTACGTTGCCCTGGTACCCTGGTATCGACCTCTCCCGCTTGTTGTTGTCGCTTGGAATCTTTGCGGGGTCGAAATCTGGAATTACTGCCTTTGCCCAGGCTATGTCCTACTGGATCTTTTGGTAGTCCTTCCTGGAAGTCTGATCCTCCCGTAGTCTGATCCCGTTGGTAGCCAGACGTTTTGAGATGCGGTTTGCCTTCTTTCGTTCCAGTGGTCCTGCCTGATTTGGTGGTGTCCGCTTGAACTCCTTGGCCCTGGTACTTACCACAAGGTCAGCCCTTGCACCTCCCTCCGATTGGTTTGGCTGGTGAGCCGCCCCAGCGTTGGTGCGTGTTTTGGGTTGGCCCTTGCGGTTCGTGGGGGCTGCCTGGCTGCGTGGTCCGCTGGCCTTGGCTGGTGTCTTTGTTGTATGAGTAGGGGCTTTTGGTACGGCCTTCTTGCTTACTTAGTCGTCATTGGTGATGACTTCCGACTTTTTAAGAGTGTCGGACTCTAAGTTTGCTTTTTTATTTGTATTTGAATTCTCCATACTAGTCCATGCGGAGAAAGGACAGGTCCACCCGGGCAGAGATCCGCTGTACCCGGGTAAGGCTGGTTAGAACAGGCGGTCGCCACTTGCCTGGGCCCACCGTTAGAGACTGAGTTATTTGTTGACTCGTGCTCCCAGCCAGACTGACTCTCGGCACGGTTCGAGTGACACCTTAGTCCAGCCCGGTGTGAGA